TACGAATCGATAAAGTAACGTTCAATTTGCACATAAAAATAGAAACAAACGTATGGCAAATCTTTATATTCAATTAATAATGGTTTTCTGGTAAGCATGAAATATTGTAATGCTTGCTCGCTATAAAAAAAAATATATAAATAAAATAAATAAAAAATAAATAAATAAATAAATAAATAAAAAAAAAAAAATAGATAAAAAAGCTATCCAATTTGCCTCCCATTATATGTTTAATTTATTCATTTATTCGAGTCTCCATCAAAATGGATGATTGATCGATAATGACTATTGTACGTTGTAGTTGCTTGAGCATATTTAATTTTAACGTAGATGAAGCAAAGTCGCATCACCACTGCGCACAATCGCAAACTCTTTATTACTGGCAATTTGGAGCAGGCTATTACTGTTTTACTTGCATTAAAATTAATCATTCGATCGAAATAAAGCATATGCTTATTAACAATATTTATATATTTATTCACAATACAGGTTACATAAAATATACGTGTCCCCTTTATCTGCTTCATGACGATTACAAATAATTTACATAACACCGATATAAAATATAATAGAGCTATTAAAGATTTTTTTTTTTTTTTTTTTTTTTTTTTTTTTTTTTTTATAAGGACTTAATCAAATATCAGTACGTAATCTGTGATTTATCTTTTGAAAATGGTTGTACTTTTTTTTAAATTTCAATCTTAAATATTGAAATGGCATTTTCATTTGGAATATTTATGATGTATATTTATAAATTGAAACGAAAACTTGAAATAAATGAATAGAGGAGTATTGATAGATAATGTTTTTATATCGGAACTTAAAATAATAACAAAAGAATTACAAGAGAATTCATGTTTAGTACTGTCAATGAATATGAGAGATAGCTCATTAATATTTGTTTACACTTTAATTTAAAAGAAATCTATTCTGATTATATTAGGAAAAAAATTATATTTTGATTTAAAATTGTCAATTTTAGATATCGAACATTTCACAAGCGATTTTCAAATTTAATTTTTTATTAAATTTTTATTACATGTATATATATATATATATATATATATATATTTCTCTCTCTCTCTCTCTCTCTCTCTCTTTTCATTTTCAAATATAAATAATATTTTGAAGAATATTATGAAAAAGTCTTGGCAGACTTTAGTTTCGTCAATCATATTACGTTCTCCCCTCCTACATTGTAATCATATTATAATGAATATTTTAAATTTTACTTTGTCTTCTCCAAAAATAAATAGAACTTTCAGCAAATGAGCAATATATTTAGAATGGAAGGAGATATTTTTTTCACCGACTTTGTTCGTAAATTATTAGGCTGACTTTATCAAATGGTCGCTTATTATTTTTTCACAATGCATAAAATTATTTGTTTCCGAGTGTACGTAAATATTTGATGTATTCTCTCATTTATTCCTTCAGACGGCTATATATAAAATACTGTAGGCTCCAAAGGTCAGAAATGAAATGTAAATATCACAAAGTACGTACAATTATGATCCAAATAAGATATTCATTATTAAAGAATTCTAATTACGAATTGAAAGAGACATTTCATACGGACGAAGGAACGAAACATTATTTGGCCGAATGGGTTGCTATTTCTCATTTTGTCCAAAAGATGCTATATTATGAAACGCTTAGACGACACACAACTTTTCATCACTTTTCATTATTCTCAATAAAACTTCTTATCTACATATTCCACAAAAAATCTTATACATAGTGTTATAGAGAAAAGAAAAAAAAAATCGGTATCCTTAAATATAATACGGTAAATTGAAAAATGAAGCTGGTGACCGCCACTCCCATACGTTTATCATTAGCCTAATCTTGCAACGTAATTAAAAGCTTCGATTATCGAGGTGGCAGTTGGCAAAGCAGCCTCTTAAATCTTATTATTTAGCTGTCGAAGTAGTTGCCAAAAATTGCGACTTTACCCGGCCCTGTCACTCCCATAGTCTCGAATTTATTAACTGGCTCACCATCCCAGCTGCCGTTCATCCGGAAGCAACGTAACGCGTTAATTCATTGTTCGCTCGAGTCTCGAATCGACTCATCCGTAATCGATACGTGCAAGTGCGTACGTAGCGCGCAGTTTGTAGCGAGCGACGGCGATGCATGGACCGAATGCTAAAAGAAAGAAAGAAAGAAAAAAGAAGTAGAAGAAAAAAAACAAACAGAGGGTAACGTAGGGAGGCAAGACAAAGCGGCAGTAGCTCGCGCCCAAAGCGAAAGGTCACCGCAGTTAATTTGCGGATGACACTGTCCAAACAGACGACCAACCCCGGCTCTCGATCTCTCCCGACGAGCGAACTGCGTCGTCCAAAGGTGAAAACATAGAGGGACTCGGTCCGCAATTATTTCGTCCTCTCTGCCGTATGATTGGGCGCTGGGGCGGAGGGCCCAGGCAGAAGGCTGACGAGCCTTGGGGCGCGTAGCCTCGCGACCTCCGCCCCTGGCGCCGGCGCCTGGAACCGACAGGGTCAAGTAGGGGATGCATCTGACAGCGGAAGACAATTAAGGCCCGTATGGCTCGCCCGCGCCTCTGTGACTACGAACTATCGAGTGTCATGCCTCATCGGGCCGAAGCACAGCCGTTCGGGATTAATGCGAGATAGGTGGGAGGTTGCGCGGGCAGAGTCGCGAGTCCGGAGTCTGCGATTTCCTAGGTTTTCGCAGGTTTTCGAGGGCCCGTTGTTCGGTGGGATTGGTGTGCCTGTGCGGCGGTGGAGAGGCGCGAGCTTCCACGAATGAAGTTGAAAATTGGGTTACGTAAGGAATCTTGTTGTTCAAGGTGTCTTGGTGGTTGGCCTGGCTGGATGGAGGGATGGAGGGTTGAACTTGGCCGTTGGTAAAATTGACGAAAGTCAATGGAGCGCTTTTTTTGTTTAAAAGTTTCGAGTCCACGTCGATATGTGCACAGTGGATTAGTTCGATTGGCGTCTTTGTAATGTGTCGTCGAGGTCGTTAAGGTACGGAGTACGATGGTACGAGATAAGAAGAAGCTGTGTCGAAATTTGAAATATTTAAATGCACCGTGTGAGCATTGGGTATAATCTTGGTGTGGGTAGAACATTGTGGAAATATGAATAAGTAAAAAGGAAAGCTCCATGGCTGTCAGGTTGAATATTCTGTTAAGAGTAAGTACCTTGGATGAAATTATAAATGAGTCGGATAATTGTAATCTTGAGGTAGCGGTAGCTTGGGAAATGGGTCGACGGGGATGGAATGGAAAGGCCTCGGACAGTTATATTATCGTCTATGATGGGACGAATTAACGTAGTTTACGAACTGCTTTCTTAAGAAGTATAAAAGTAATATTAGCGATGAGGGAGGTAGACTTTATGAATGATATACAACGATTTATTACTTTGTAGTGAAGAAATTAGATCTTCAAATGTACATTATCTCAGGAAAGATAACGACGATGGCATTAAAGGCAGCTTTCTTAATCAATTTGAGCTTACTTCGATAAATTAGACTCGCGCGATGCTAAGATTATCCCAAGCGATGCTAATGTAAACATTAGCGAAGAGAATTCTTATGATTAATAATGAGATAAGAAAATTTGCAAAACATCGGTAATGAACAACGATATGAAAGTAAGCGATCGGTATCTACGGGATTTTAATTATTAAGAACACGTATTTTAATTACAAGTGTTCATGTAAGACGAATGTACCTAGATGTTGTCATATACAATCTAAGTGTTTTATTTTTAGTAAACAAAAAATGTGCGACTATAATTTGGGATTTTAAAGTCGTCGTGGATGTAGCCGGGATATTTCATAATATTGCAGTAGTAGTGAGTTGAAAATTGATATTTGTATTAAATAATCATTACAGCATTTACCAATAATTAGAGATATTACAAATAACTTTGAAATGTCAAAGAATATTTGCAAAGACAAAATTAATTCAAACTATTCTCGTATTGTTATGAACGATTGTTTAAACTATTATATTACTTTTAATCGTTACTTAATAATAATTTATGACTTTCAATGAGGAATTAACATTCATTTATTGCAGGTTTATGATTTATTGTTAATAAATTTAAAAGAATTATTTAAATGAAAGTTCTTCTGCATATAAAATTAGAGCCATAATAATGAGCTGAATGTTATTTAATATGAAAAAGAAGAAAGAAAACAGAGAAAACAAGATATATACATTCTACATTTTTTTTTACATTTATTAAATTAAAAATCATTAATTTTTTGTTTTTATTTTGTGGCAAAATCATTTAGTAAATGGAATGAAATAAAATCTATGATATTTTTTTTTTTACTAATTTAAGTATTTATATCACACATTTTCTTTATTAATTAAAAAAAAAAAAAAAAAAAAAAAAAAAAAAAAATCAAATAAAAGACAAATTTAATAAATTTTATTCTCTTTTCTTTTCCAAATGTAGAAATATGCGAGATAATCTTAATAAAATTATCCATAAAATCGGTTAGACTATTAATTTCTTTTGTTAGATATACAAAAGAATAATGATTGTGAAAGGAATATAGAATTGTATTAGCATTATTGAGGGACTAAAATGACTGATTGCACTTTATTTATCCTGCAATTTCGTTTCCATTATTATATTCTAATAATCTACATTAATGGAATGTATTGAAATCGCGTCAAATCAGCTCCTTTGCGTTTCAAGTCCACATAATCCTATCAGTTGGATCAGTTTATGTGACGAATGCAATGTCCTTTCATTGATGGAGGTGCTGGATCGATTCTGATGAGATTACGCGATTTACGTTTTCTACAATTCTTCTTGAATATCTATTAAAATGAAACTAGTCGAATTGTAAGAGAAAGAAAATACAGGGACAAAGAGAAGGAGAGGAGTGGCTATTTATAAAAGCAAAAAGTCTGACACATTTAATTTAACGTATAAACTTATTTATAAATATATAAGTAGACAACAGCGAAATAATGTATATATATATATATATAAATGGCGCCTATAATTTATAAATAATAATAGTTATATGTTGCCTAAGCATACATATTTGCATAACATTAGATTACTCTAATAATGCTGATAATTGGCTGTAGACATTATGGCTTTTTATATAAATAGTTAATATTCAGTAATACTAGTTATTGTTGATAAATCATTTAATTATTTGGAAATGTAAATACTGATGTATCTTCATAATAATTGTCCTGTGTAAAATACGGATTTCTATTTTCATATTCATGACTTTCCAAGTACGGCTTCTCATCGTAATTAATTCGATCGACATATTTTATATTATCGTTCTCTCTAATGTATTCCTAATTTATAATAATAAATTTTGCACATTAAAAATATATTGAAACATTAAAAATGAAAAGTAAAAATGTCGAATATTATACCTCGTCAGAAAATTTATGATCTCTATGCGAAGAATCCATTTTACTATTATGATCCATACTCAAATCATTGAATGTATTAAATGATTTTACAATACGATATAATTGCGAGTCATTCTCTTGTTTATTTGTCGGAAAGACAATTTTATTCGATTCACTTTTTTTAATTTTCGTTGAAAGAATATTATTCGTATCTTCGTTTTTCTCTTCATAGTGATTGCTATTATCGAGCGTAAGTTTTCCCGTTCCAGTTCGATCAGCTTCTGGTCCTAAATACACTTGAGGCGAAACGTATCCGGCGCTTGATTGCACATCCTTATTCCGTAAATCTGAAAGGAGGTATTTGTTTGTAATTCTGATGACGTTTCGTCGAATGAAATCATAAAATTTTCAATATTACCTGAACTTTTGCTAAATGGATAATATGGAAATTGCGAAGGCCTGTAGTAATTACCACTGTGACTATTAAAGAAGCGAAAAAAGCCGCCGTTATAGTTATTTAAATATAAAATAAGTTGCTCAGGATTTTGAGGACATCGAGGATACTCTCGATAACACGAGTACGGCCGTCCTCTGTTTGCATATCCAATTAGAGCTGCTCTACCAAATGTTAAAATTGGAGAGCTCCCGCTTAGATCGACAGCGGTTAATAACCTAAGATTATAAGGAAAAATTTAATATTTTTGAAATATATCGCTTCGAGAAAGATAAATAATGATTTTTTAAGAGCAATTTTAATTAAAACATTGGAAAGCGGAAAAATCGAACGATTATGGTGTAAAGCACACAAGCTCCATTAAAGCCTATGTTTTGCGAATGAAATTTTGGCGCCATTATCTTTATAATCAATAGATAGGTACGCAGTGGATCTAGGAGCACGTAGACAGACGCGTTAACGAGATTCCTCTAAAAAAAAAAAAAAAAATAAATAAATAAATAAATAAATAAAAATAAAAAAAAGAAGAAAAAAAGAAGAAAAAAAGAAAAGTAAAATTAAAAAAATAAAAAAAAATTCTTCCGAAAAGTTTGTCAAAGTAAAAATAGCTCCAACTATCTTGAAAATTTGACGTTTGTACACATTCTAGCAATACGCGTTCCCCAATCCACTGGCACATCTTCCACTCCTATTCTCGGAATAACAATACGCATCCGGCTGGCCATAATAAAGCTCAAGAAGCAGAATAAAACTCTCTTTGCTGCATCGATAGCGCGGCGCGAGCAGACGAAATTCTTTACCAAAAAAGTGTGCTCGGGCCGAAGCTCGGGGAGGCCGAAGTTTGCCTGTAAGCAAGACTCCCGGGCGTTGAACCACTGGCCACTTCGCAAAGAATCCTTGGAATGCACTTCAAGTCGTCGTACCGAGCGATCGAGGATAAGGCGCCAAATAAGTTGTTGCCCGGTCTGGTGAAACTAGCTAAATCAAATAAATTCGGTAAGCTGGGGAGTGGCAGTCCTCCGGTAAGCAGCGACGCTATCTGTAACGATCCAACCTTTGTTTACGTTCCATTAAGTAAGCCTGCGACTCGCTCACTGGGGAGTCCAGCCGATTATAATTAGGGAGATATTTACCGTCTCGGTGATATAATGATTCGAGGAGGACGCGCCATCGAAGACTCTCGGATAATGTGGAATGGGATGCGATTGCCTTGCCTCCTCGTCAATGCGACTCCATATTATTTTGTTATAATTGGCATTTTGCTGCGCGATAATCATCGTCGCCAGATCGTTCATGCACCTAGTACGTGCAACAATACGTGAATAATTACGCGAATAACATGTCGGGCTTTAATCGTCATTAAATATTTGCGACGTTGAAATATAATTGATAAATGTGATAAGTAGCGTCTTTGCGCAGTCCCAATGCCGAATAATTCGCGTAATTGAAAGAATGAGTAACCCATACATTCAGCACATTGATTATCAATTATCCTTGGGTAAATTTGTTCTGTCGATATTTTTTGTATTTGGACGTTAAGTCCCTCGTTACTCCTCATCGAGTATACAATTGCAATTTTAATGTTTCGCCCCGTCGCTATTTCACTGCATGGACGAACAATTTGCGCTTTGAATTCTATTGCCGTCATAACGATTAACATAGGTAATGGCCGCCCAATTATATCACGCGTAATCCCTATTGATGATGGCGTTAAAAATCCAAGGCTAAGGCAGTGGAGTTGGTATATAGAAGTGGGAAAACTCACAGTAAAAGATCGGCGATGTTGTACGTCCTCGTATCCTCGTCGAAGTTGCAGATCCTCCTCGATCGCGGCGTTTCCGGACTCTCGGGTCGCTGGCCCTCGAGCGTCAAAATATCGGCGATCGCTAGTCCCATCAGCAATCCCAAAATCAATGAGTATTTCGGATAAACGAGAACCATCGCTTGGGCTTCCAATGATTGAAGAGACTGGTGGCGGGTAGATAGATAGATAGATAGATAGATAGATAGATAGATATAGAT